AAACCGCTTAGAGAAGTTGGGGGGATAGCCAGGGGCATTTGGATGGGGACTGGGAGGCAGGCCTTGCCACCTGTGGAGCTAGGCCAAAAAACAACCAGGAGATCCCCTATTTGGGGACTCTAGGCAATTTGTCGTTTCCCCTTTACATGTGTTTTTGACTCTTCCTCCTTCCTTTGCGGTCACCAAGTTGGTTAAACACTCAACTTCTGGAACCAGGCTGCATGGGTTTGGATTTCAGCTCTTCTATTTACTAGCTTTATAACTTTGGATAGGTTCCATAGGTCTGCCCACCCTGATCTACAGCAATGGGAGAAATAACAGGATTTGGTGCTTTAAGCCACTACGTTTAAGGGTGGTTTTTTGCACAGCAGTAACTAACCTAAATACTCTTTCAACAATGCCTTTGAAGTGGCATTTATCCAGTTTAACTTCCATTTTTATAAGAGCCTAAATCAGTCTCCCTGCTTCATTAAAATGTCACATCCTCCAGCGTTCCTCCATGTTGATGTCAGAGTATCTATTGTTTCTCCAGTGTTTAAAATCCTCCAAATTCTCACCTCATTTAGATTAAAACAAAAATTCCTTTGTGTTCTACACCTCTGTGCTCTCATTTTTTCCTCCTTCTCTATCCCTTACCCTGCCTTTGCAGTCTTTGCTCCAGTCATATGGAACCCCTTGCCATTGAACAATCATGATCTATGTATAGTTATATATAACTGTGCCTTTGTACTTTATTCCCCTTCCCTAAGACAATCTTTCCTCTCCTCCTCTAAATCTATGAAGACTCTCATCAAACACCTTAGGGATTACCTCCTCTAGGTTTTTCTTGAAAATCTCCATTCTTAGACTGAGTTTGATGCCCTTCCTTTGTGTGTGTCTGTATCATACTACTTGTATTAAGAATTGGAGTAACAATTTTTTCAATTCTCCTAAGGTATACAGCTAGTACCATTCTAGAGGTAGCAGAAGAACTTATTATATACAATTTGTCTCAGGGCTTAGTTCTCTGGGAGGGCAGGGCGGGGAAAAAAGGCATTGCCCCCATTAGAAAACTACAAATCCTTTTGAGCACAAGGACTGCTATCTTTATTAGTAGCACAGGACCTAGTTCATGTTCATCCATTAAATAAGAATAACATGTGAATAGCTACTGTCTTCAAAGGACCTCAAAAGTAAAATACAGCAATAATCCAAAGAAGTTTGTAATTTCTGAGAACAAATGCCCAAATTTCCCAAGATGCGGTCTCTGCCACATCTTAACCAATCTATGGGTTCCATGGTGTCTGGCACATAGTAAGCAGCCAATCATATGTGGACTTGTCTATCCCTTCATTGTTTAAATGATCTCCATCTTGAGCTGTACCCAAATAGGCTTTGCAGTGTCACACTGTGACTTAAAAATAGGTTTGGAGTCCCAACGCTGAGAACTACTAGTTGGAATGACCACATAGATAAAACTGTGAGAGAGTCTATCAAATATTTAGAACTTCATTTCACTTTGATGAAACATGATCTTTAACCCATTCATTATATGATCACTTTGAAAATGGAGGCAATGATATGAGACTAAGAAATAAAACCTCTTATAAAGTTTTAAGAAATGTATGAAATATAAATACAGGAAAACTTTATATAGGTATCCAACCAAACTTTTATTGGGGTTTTATTGCAATCTACTTTCGGCAATAAGGGGAAAGTAACCATAAGAATTCCGATCAGATTTTATTCAACAAAGCAGTTTTTCATGAATGCTTAAGGTCAGTGTATAGTCAGCTCAGCTTCCAGTATCAACTTGAGTACCTCATTATGGAAATTTATGCCAGAATGACAACAGTAAGGCATTGCAAGATCCTAAATCATCTAAGATTAAACCATATTTTACATATAATTTTTAGGACAGTATACTAATACTCTACAATAAATAAGGATTTTAAAAATGTGTTGCTTAGCCCTTGTTGAACTAAATTCAATTATTAGCTTATTCTTTAAGTACTCCAGTTAATAAAGGTTTGATTGTACTCCAAGAACTCTGACTTTTCCAAAGATAAAAAAATTAGTTCTTATTTGCTATGACAGAAATTAAGCTTAAAAGCACATTCACACTTGTCCTTAAAAGCATGTTTACATCATATATGAGATAACTTCTCATGCCTGGAGATACGGTTTATATGGCAAAAAGTCATAAGCAAAGAACGACTAGAGGGCAATCCTCCCAGCTCCACGTCCTCCAAAAAGCCACACTTGGCCTCAGTGTAAAAGTTATATTTTATTGCCATGCTACAAAATGTATGAAGTTGGCACTGATAGGGAGAAACAGAGAACAAAGGGTGGGAAGGGATAGAGGGCAAAAGATGTTGTTACATATACAACAAGGTTTTAATCAACAGTGGTAAATTTTGCCAATATTAAAAATGCAAACCAAAATTTAAAATGCTGATATGAAACAGCATTAATATACAATTTATGCATAGTACAGTATCACTTATGTCTTTTATTAGAGAAATGTGGAATGTTTATAAAAGAAATTAACCATAGGGGATAAAATTCCTATTTCATATACAATTTGGCAATGGTAGTCCCACTGTTAGACAATTTTTTATAAAAGAAAAAATTAAAAATCTAACACGCTACCTTTATACAAAGTTGCTATATTTATGCCTTTATGTAGGAAAAAAACATTTATAATGCAAATTAGGACATACAATAATATTACAGTATTATACAATGTAATGAAAATAAAAACATAACACAAAGTTTTTCCTTTATAAAATGTATATTTTGCATTTACTAATGCAAATGTGGCACACCGGTGACTACTGTACTATTAATACCAGTCCGTTTCCATGCTATTATTGTCCAATTGTCATAGAATTGCAATTGTATTGATGCTACAAAAGAATCGTGTTATACCCCCAAAAAATGAGGAAGTAGGAATGGGGAATAGGGATGTAAAGAACAGGATAGATAGGGTGCTGGTTTGGGCAGAGTATATTGTGGTATGTCATAAAATATCTGTTAGTTTTCAAGCCAAAAGCATTTTCTATACATTCTATAATTTCGTACCAATGCCTTTATTCAAATTTGGCAAACATCAGGGAAAAGGTAATTAGTACCATATACCTCACATATCAGAAATATGAATACGATGCCAATATATCAGTTACTTCTGAATGTTGTCTCTGATGGTATGTCTATTTCAAGGAGATATTTTTATATATATATGTATATACACATATACATATATATATATTTACACACACACACTACACATTGCACAAAACACTTGGGCATTATGGGTTAGGAACAGCACAGGGGGAAGTGGGAAGTACTTTTTAGCTTGTTAAAACCTTTACCTTGAGGCAAAAATATGGTGGCACATTACTGGGAAATTATGAAAACATAAGGCCCCTGTCCCATTTTTAATAGAACATTATTGAGGTACATTTTTATATGTTGTGCCACAGATTTTTTTGAGGGGGGGAATAAGCAAACACTAGCTTGACCTATAACATTGAACTGTGGGGTCAACATTAATATCTACAAAAACAAAGATTGCTTGGCAAATTTTCATAAGTCCCAAATGTGATCTGTTCTGGATATACTGGGAAGTGAAAAGCTTTTTGCTGAGTCTTCAAGAGTAAAGTGCATATCTCATCACTCCACAGCAGCAGTAAATAAAAGGAACGATTTGCCAATCTTCCTGGAGGGAGGGAAGGCACCATATTTTCATTTTTAAAGGAAGATGAAACTGGGAAAGAAAACACATGAAGAAAAAACACAGGTAATACCCATATCAGTTTCCAACCCCTGATCTGGGATAACAAGCTGCTATCACCTGTATGGATAAAAGAGGACTCTATGGGGGGGGGGGAAGCATATGAATGATGATTATATTTCCAAAACCAAAAAGTGGGATCCCATGGTCTATCAACGGAACAGAATATCTAAAATTAGGTCCGTCTCAGAAAATCTGAAACATATGGCCACAATTATATCCCAATAAAATATCTCATTCTAAAATGCACCTAGTGACAGGTACATTCTTCCAGGACAGAGCTTAATGCCCATGACTAGACTATTGCAAAGGACAAGTAGTGTTCTACATTACTTTTTATTAAATAGGAACACAGGTGATTTCCAGAGACATCTAGAAATAAACACCAGTTGTATACATCTTCCTAATACTCAGAGTACCTAAAATCAAATTCGTAGCAGACAAATTGGTCCCATTTTCATTTTTAAAGCACACAGTATTTAAAGCATAAACTGCAATGATTACATTGGAGCTACCTAAAATATATAAAAACTAAGTAGAACCTGGAAGGAAAATGAAAATGATGAGGAAAAGAAAGAAAATAAAGTATCCAACCTCCAAAATGAATCAATAGGTCAGCCCTTTCATTTGGAGGTTCTGTCTTGGCTGCTTGTTTTGGAGAAAACCACATGTACTGGTTCCATTATAAGTCTTATTCCACGTTACAAAAACCATCACATAAATTTGGCACGATTAGCAATCTACTCAGAAGAAAGCATAAATGGAACAATATATTAAAAATGGAAACTGCACACCTATACCACTGTTTTCTTTTTAGAGAACAGGGAACACTTTAGTAAGCACCAAGTTCACAGAAAAAAAAAAAGAGAGAGAAGAAAGAAAATTCTGCTATGCACATAAACCAATGGCACTGAAAATAATAAAGACACCTTTAATAATTTATTTTCTTTATAATGGTCCCACTCTATTATTCTGCTAATCCATCCACTGTCCTATAATTAGGTTATTTACTGATCAGGTTGGGTGCTATATGACTGAAACCTTTTCATGCTAAATTAACCTTAGTTACATCTGGTAGACAGATCCAAATCATGACCTCAAACTTCCTCATATTTAGAGAAAACAGTAACCTAACCTTTCCACTCTACCGTCTCTTGTCTTCTCTAGTGTTTGAGAAACTGGAACATTCTTGATTTTCCAAGAGTTAGACATATGGACTCTCTTCAGTTTATATAAACTTCAATTCATTTTAAATCTTAAATTATGACACAATCTCATTGCTCTAAGACTTCCTCTGTACCTGCTATGCTGGCAACAATCCTAACATTCGAATTAAATCAAGGGATCATCAAAGCTCCAGCTATGAGTAAAAGGACAGCAGAGCTGAGGAGCACTACTGTGGGCAAAGTACAATTGCAGCTGTGGGACGAGGGAATCACTGCTAAAGTGCTGGGGAGAGTGCCCACAGAGAAAACACAGTACCTTTAGGGAACTTTGCATGTGAAAAGTAGCTTCCTTTTTTCTCGGCTGTTAAAGAGATCACCTATGGACACAAGTGAAATTTCAAATTGAGCGAATGTTTTTATCAGCTTGAACAGTAAACAGCATATAAATAAATACTGGACAAGGGCAACCCTGTTATAGAATAACAGTAAGTTCCAAATGAACCTTCAAAACCATAATTTGACAAAAATGCAAACTAAACAACAACGAACACATAATCCAATTTCAAAACTATATACAGACTCAAACGTTTTAAATGGAAAAAAGACATTAAGCAACAAAATAAGTCATCCCAAACGCCAAAGGAAAAAACTGAAGGTAAACGGCAACCCAATGGCACAAACGCCTCCAGAAAACAATGTCACTGTTACTAATCTATAGGAGAGAAACTTCCAAGAGACCGTGGTTCAGATTTCCAAATGTTTTTGGGTAAAGTGACCTGAGACTGATTTCTTGCGTCTAGTGTAATTCTGATGAAGATATGTGGGCATGCCCTTCAAATGACATGAGATGAGTAAACAGAAAACCTTGTCTCCTTCCTGCCTTTCAACACACCAAGAGCAAACCACATTCACGGGCACAGGACTCTTTCTAGTAACGCAGAAGGCAAAGGAACTGACTGGTATATAAGGAGGTGTGGTACTTCTATTTCCTTTACATATGTTTTGGCTCAAGTCAAAAAGCCTACAATTAATGAAATAAAGGATTCCTCATGTTACATGCTGGAGGCCATATACCATGAATAGTGAATCTACAAAGAGTACTTTCAAAGCCTAGAGTTATCTGTTAGCAACGCACATTATCAAGAGGCTTTATAAAATGTTTTAAATGCCAACCGTGACTTAGACATGAATGATATGCGTCAGTCCAGAATATTGATAAAAATCAACCAGCATGTCACTCACTTCAACTCTCATTTTAAATAGGCACTGTGAAAATGGGAATGCTGCTGTACAGTAATGAGTAGTATATACTGAAATTAGTGTTCTTTAATGAGTACCTGCTCTACTTTAATTCCCTTTAGTTAAAGAAGCACAGGAAATATTCAGAAAAAAATCTTATCAGTCTATAAAAGGAGTTAGTGTTTAGAAATGAAAATGAAGCACTTGCATCTTCATTTTTGAAAACTTCACAAAGGTGCAAACGATGTACCGCTTTCCAGGCTCACATGGGCAGGTCAGTACTATTATGTCTGGTCTTCCTAGAGGTCCCATCATCTCGGGGCAGTGCTTTCTGCAAATTGGACATAGCAGCAGTTCTCTCGATGTCTATCACAGCATACAGCTCTGTGCGCCTCGTAGGGGTTTGTGGAAGGGGAGTGGTAGGCGTTTTCGGAGTCTGAGGGTTGTCAGAGTCACTGCCGCCTTCCAAGTCAACCTGGATGTAATTGAGCTGCCTGTGTTCTAAACTTGGGCGTCTGATATCAAAGTTAAAGACTGTAGGTGTACAGTCCCGACGCCTCGAATAGTCTATCTTGTGAGCACTTGCTGGCACTGTTACATTCTCTGTATTTACATAGTTATGCATTGGATCTAGATTATTATGGTAGCCATTTAAAGATGGGGTCTTTGGTCCTAAATTGTCATCTTCATCCCTACTTAGCTTGCGGGCTTCCCAAACAGGAGGCAAAGCTGGTAAATTTTCATAGTTTAATAATGCAGTTCTTCTCTGAGCTGAGTTGTTGATATTCTGGGTATCTGAGGTACTGCTAGATGTCAGACGACCTCTCCTGACCCCTGAGGCACTAGGGATAGATAGCCCATTTATATTTTCATACACCAGTTTGTTAACAGAGGGTGCATCTCTTCGCTCGTCACTGTCATATCCAGTGTCCCATTCTGTGCTATTGGCACCACTTCCACTGACTTGGTCTCTTCCAAGTTGCTCCAGTTTCTCTTTTTCCATTAACTGCTTTTGAACAGGGGTTGGTCCTAAGACAAATTTGACTCCTTCGGGTTCAAGAAGAATCTGAGGGTCCCTGTCCTCAATACTACTTGGTTCTTCTTTTGGTGTGTTGCTTTCAGCATTCGAAATCCTCGCCTCCAATGGGACATGCACACTTGTGCGGTTCTTCCGCTCTTCCTGCACTCCTGTAGTGTTGACATAGGTATGTACCTAAAACAAAACAGAAAAGTGGATCAATAACTTGCTTAAAACAAAAGCAAAAAAAGGCTGACCGCATCAGTTAAACTCTATCGATTAGCCTTCTCCCTATACTCTTCCTTCAAAGCTTCTGTCCTTGTTTTTCACTAATAAAAAGGTGGACAGAGGAGAGGATTGTGGAAATACATTCTTTACTTGATAGAAGAGTAACTACTCTAGGGGTGCCTGGGTGGCTCAGTCGGTTAAGCGTCTGCCTTCGGCTCAGGTCAGGATCTCAGGGTCCTGGGACCAAGCCCCGTGTCAGGCTCGCTGCTCAGCGGGGAGTCTGCTTCTCCCTCTCTGTCCCACATAAATAAATAAAAATCTTAAAAAAAAAAAACAAAAAACAGAATAACTACTCTAAAATAGCACATAACATTGTACTTGATAATGAAAAGCATTCTGTTAAAAAAAAAATCAGGAACAAATTGGGATTACTATTTTGATGTTGTTTTAGAAATTCTCATCAATGCATTAAAACATGATTCAGAAATAAGGAATAACAAGTATTAAAAAAAAAGAAATTTATCATGATTTGCAGATAATGTGACCAAATAAAGAGATAAACCCTACTAGATTTAATAAGAGTTCTACAAAATGCATTGATACAAAATAAATACCACCTACTAAGAAATCATCACTATTTAAAGAAAAGGTCAATAGTATTTTGAGGGAACACTATAAAAATGTTTGGAAGACTAGGAGCACCTGGGTGGCTCAGTCAATTAAGTATCAACTCTTGATTTTAGCTCAGGTCATCATCTCAGCATGATGGGACTGAGCCCTATATCAGGCTTCGCGCTGGGGGGGGGGCCGAGGGGGGCAGCGTCTGCTTAGGATTCCCTCCCTGTCCCTATGCCCCCCCCCACAAGTGAGCTCTCTCTCTCTAAAATAAATCTTAAAAAAAGAGTTTGGAAGACTATACATAAAATTTGAAAACATTCAAAAATAAAATGTAAAAACTGAGGAAAGTGTAATTATAGTAAATAAGAACTCATTTACTATGTAAAGAACACAGAGAAACAGATTTTAAAACAGTAAAAATTTCTTAATGATATGTGACCATTTGGTTTACAAAAGATTAAGAATAACTAATTAATATATAGACAATGATGAACCAAATACTTTATTTCTCAAATGAAAAACACAATAGTTAGAAACATTAAATAGCTTCATAAAAACGTTGACAACAAAATCTACCTTCCTGCTAGTAGTCCACTGATATAAAAAGCAGTATAAATTCCAAATCCATCAGCGGTTATTATAGCAAGAACTGACCATTAGTTCTATCTGTTTTTATCTATAGACGTACCTCTCCTGTGAGCCCACAGGCTATTGTAATGCTACGTTTCCCTCCACACCTTTACGTATTTGGCATATGTTAGGAAATATAAGCTGTTTCCTCTGATTCTTCACTACAAGAGTCATAAACAGTGAAAGCTAAAATTCAGACTAAAATTTCCACGTATCAGCACAGTAATGCTTTAACTCCACACTTTAATCCATTATCCCGTTAGACAGTAGTACATGCTTACTTGCTCCTCAGCCACAAGCAAAGGATGTGTAGATTCTTCACCTACTGAAGGCAGGCGTGCACTTCCCACAGAAGGATGTCTGCTTGAGGGATGGGATGAAGCATCTCCAAATGAGGGATATCGGGGATATCCATTAGGTAAATTCTGAGCAGCAAACCCTGGAGCTGAGTTTTTGTTTATTGGTTTAAGAAGAAAAGCAGGATATCGGGGCAGGACAGAGAGATAAAAGTGAATGAGAATGGAATCTGCACTGAGAAAATTAAGCAAGATGTTTCTGGCAAGACACAACCAAAACCAGAGCACAAACAACACCCTCCTTCCACTCCAACTTTCCATTCACGTTTTAGGTAACATAGAACTTTTAATGTTTTCTTACTTAAAATATTAAAAATGTTTATAATTATAGCTCTAACAGTTTAAACAAAAAAACTGACAACCATTACACTTACGTTAGCCAATGGTGATTTCTAAGGCGTTAGAGACTAAATATCCACAATCCAAAGTTTATAAACGTCTATTATTCAAAATACAAGAGGGAGCTCTGCACAGTGGCAGTATCATAGCCAATGAGGTTCATCCGAGGCGCAATTATTGTTAATTGAAAACTTTTCCCAAAATATAGGAGGGAAAATTGGTACTTACTTGTAGGTGTTCGAGGTGTTCTGGGGACTTCCAATTCTGTCTGATGATTATTCCTTTCTACAACTGGCTCTTCCACCACATTTATACTATTATTTTGCATAATCTCTTGCAACATGTTAAATAATTCTTCTGCACGGGCACACTTAAAGGCAAAGATTCCTACAAATATAAAAGAGAAGGGGAAAATGGTAGCTATAGCTTTAAAAAAGATACAGGAACACCTGTCAAAGAACAAAACTGTAAAGTAAGCATTGTATGACCTGACAGGAAGAAAGGCCCTTTAAATAGATGTCTGATAAATTAATGATATTCTCTGTTTCAAAACATAAACCCAAAAGGAAATTCACAGACTAATTTTCCCATGTCTCAGGGAGAGAGCCCAAAACAAGGCAGACAAAAACAAGATTTGAACACTTGCTTTGGTCTGCTTTTTAACAGCAGGGGGCACCCAGTCACCATTACCAAGGTGATCCTTTACCATTTGACAGTCCCTTCCTTGCTGGATGGTTTACAATCCTTACCTTGTTTAATTATTACAACAGTTCTATAAAGTAGGGATTAGCATTCCTCTCCGATAGAGAAGAAACCTGATGTTCTACAGAGATCATGTAACTTGCCCAAGACCTTTCAAGCAGTAGGTAGCAAAAAAATCAAACCGTGTTCTCTTTGACTCTAAAGTTTAGGTTCTTTCCCCAAAAAGTTATAACAGTAAAGATACATATAGTCAATTTACTGGAACTAATCATCTCCTGAAAATCTTAAATAATATGAGTCAAAATTCTGTACAAAGAGAATGTGCTTAATAAATTCCTGATAAATGAAGACACAGTTTACTGTATCTCTTTTCTTAACAATCCACTTAGTTGGGGAATTTTTTTTCTATCAGGAAAAAAGTAAAGTATTTATTTAAACATTGTAAATAGAATAACTGAGAGAACAATTTTTAAATGTGTTACTGTTTGGGGAACAAAAAAATTAAAGGATCTACCTACCTTGTCCAGTTTGACACCTTCGGCCACTTTCAAAAGAAAAGAGATTTGAATCATAGCCATAGCGCCGCAGGCAGAGGTAGTGCCATTTTACCGAGTCCCGTTTGCGAGTGTATAAAATCAGTTCTGTGTCTGTAAGTTCCATTATGCCAGAACCTAACTCATTCCCATCATCATCCACATTAATGACCTAAAAAAGAACATTTAATTAGTGCCAACCTAATGTTGTCACTTGATGGTCATACACGTATTTCACCAGTCTATCAGTAAAACGCACTGTTGCTGATTGGTTCACTTATTCGCTCCTTTGTTAGTAGTTCATTCATCAACCAATGTGTGTGCAGGGCATGGACCACGTAGCAGTGAAATATCTGGTTCTATCCACAAGAAGCTCACATACCCAGTGAGCATAGAAGATATACAAACATGAAGTCAACACAAAGCTGTATTTGAGCAATGGACAAATGGGTGCCAACAGAGGCTGCAAAAGGCAGTAACTGGCGTAGGGTGGCTGGGGAAGCCTTCACGTGAGAAGAGGAGGGACTTCGGCTGGGCCTCAGGAGAGAACCAGTGGGTCAGGGGTTGTGAGGCATATCCTGAAGATGCAGTGCTATAGCAGAGACGAAGAAGGTATGTTTCAGGGAGACCAAGACAAGACTGGCACAGAGTTCACGGAATGGGAGGCCTTGCACTGCTCAGTTTCTGAACATGGCCAGAGACTATGAGGAGTAGGTAACACTGGGAGAAAACTGTCTATATTCCTGGGACTGGCAGAGCGCTTTCCACATATTTTTTCCATTTAATCCTTATAACAATCCTAAACTGCAGGTAATGCTATTTTTTCCACTGTACTGTACAAAACTGGAACAAACACACAGTGATAATGTAACCTGCCTAAGGTTACAAAGCTACAAAGCAACACGGTTTCGACTCACACCTGGGTCTGTGTGATCCAGAGGCCACGATGTATGACAACCTGAGGTCAGGCTATGGGAGACACTAAATGGCTGAGGAGAGGTAAGAAATGGAGCATCTGTGCTCTAGGTAACAGAACACTAGAAGTTTTAGAATGATGAAAGAGGAAGATTAATATGATGTCAACTGCAGGATGGATCACAAAAGTGACTGACTCAAGGCAGAGTTCTGCTAAGAAATTATCCAGACGTGAAAGCAATGACTGGGAGGTGGTGACCAGACTGAAGAGGCACCTATAAAATGGCATTAAAATTGTTTTTTTACTAGAACTGTATGGCTCTAATTGGATATAGAGGACCAAAGGGAAAGTAAAAGAGGATTCCACACTGTCAGTAAGAACATATTGTCAGCATCTGTTAAAACAAGAAAAGGCAGAATAGACACAAAGAGAAATAGAAGAGTCTGGAGATAAAAATGAGGAAGTACGATATAGAATGTGAAGAAAAAGAAGAACATCCGAGTAGGCAGAGAGATATAACTCAACCAGTTTTACTAACCTTAAACTTGTTCCGATGGTTATCTGGGACAGTGTCTTTATCTGGACAGCTACAACAGCTACCCATGGCTTCTTCAGAAGACCATGTGAGCACTACATGAAAGATAATTTGGAAAAAATTATTAAATGTAGGATACAAAACTCATAAAACAGAAAAAGACTTTAGAAATCATCTATCACAAGTCCTGCATTATTTTGATGAGGAAATTTAAGCCCAAGAAGGTTCAGGGCTGAGCTAGATTTCAAACATTCAGCTGGTAAATTTTGCTCAGTGACAAGGAAAATAATTTTGTGAGGTAGACTTCACAGAAATCTCAAATTGCCAGTTTAATTTGCAAAGGTCTGCCTATTTTAAAATTATCTTTTAAAAAAACAAACCAATTAAGGTCTCATTTCATATGTAACACTTTAAATAAAGTCATTAATGGAATTAACCCTCAATGGTTTATCAGAAATTTCATGTCCCTCTTTTAATAAAATTCCAAAGGGATGTTGGACTTTAAGGTTGGAAGGTATTTTGATTCTTATTACTCACTGTAGTATATCCTTTATGTACCTCACCAGGCAAAAGTTGATTGGTAAATAAGACACAAAAACAAATTTGGAATATTCATTAAGAGAGAAAAATAACCCAACAATCAAGGAGTAACTCAACATAGAGAATTTTGGCAAAACTGACAGAGCATGTCTGTCTAATCCTTCTTTCCCACACAAGGTTAGAGATAATGGGTTATAGGTGACACTAAGTGTTCAAGAAAACTCCAAATGAACAAAGGAAAAATTCAAAACATCACTTAACAAAAGGGGAAGAATCAGAATGAATGTGACAATATTTGGAAAAGGGGGAGGGAAGAAAGCAGAAGCTATTTAATATTTAAAAACATAAATTTGATATAACTGGCTTAAAATTCTTCAGGGGCTCTTCACACTACATTTAGAAAAACATTTGGAGCTTGTCAGCATGACACGAGGTTCTTCACCATCTCGTCCTTGGCTACAGATCTAGTCTGAACTCCCTTTGTCTCTGCTTCAAGCCCTCCCAAGTCACACTCAGCAGTCGCCCCAGAGCAACTTGTCCTCCCACATCCTTCCATGCTGCTCCTTTCCTTTCTCAAGATCCTACTGTGCAGTTCCTTCAGGGAGCCTTCTCTGATTCCAAGCAACTGGGAGAGTTACACCCCCAAGGCACCCTGGGCTTCCCAGTATCATAGCATTCTTCACATTGCTTACTTAGCAGAAATTGTGATAGATCATCTGTTTACTTAACTATTGCTCCCCCTGCACTGTAAGCTCCTTCCCAAGAACTAATTTGCATTCCCCACGCCTAACACATTACCTAGCCCATAGTAGTGCTCTAAGTCTCTTGTGAGCTGAATGAACTGCACTGTACTAAACAAAGGTAAAGAATGCTGGCAGGTACAAGTATTAAGCAGATGAAAAAGTGTACCAGTGCACAAACCAAAAGAAGTGATAAGTGAAATAGTAAAGTTAATTAGGACTCGTATTTGGTAGTTTGCTCTAAGTAATATGCCAGCTAAATAACATGGCATAAAGATGATTAAGTCACAGTATGTACTTCTGAAGAGTCAGGAGTCTAGAGGGAGAGACAGAGATGTAAACAGATAATCCATTATGATTAAATGTTATATGAAAATATGAGAAGAGTTCTGTGGGCACAGAAAAGGGAGCAAGTAACTTTCTGGGTTAGCAGGGCAGGACGCACCATTTGAGCTGGTACTCAAAAGGGTGAACAGAAACAATGCACTGGGCAAAAAACAGAAATAGGTACTTGAGACAGTTAAGAGTACAAAGAATACAAAGACAAAGGTCATGAAAGATCATGAAAGGTGGTATTGCATTCAGAAAAAAAGTGAGGTGTCCAAAACGACTGCAGTACAGGGTCGGCCGTAACACAAGCAGGGCCCAAACCGTATAAAGGTCCTGAACAACAAGGTAGGGATCTGGGACTCCAAGTAACTTGAAGCTAGATGGCATCCAGTGTCTTCCTAGTCAAATGGATATGACTCTATCATGGCATTTATCACATTCTATTGTAACGTTTATCTGTCTCAACACTGACTTCACTATGATTTCCCTTAAGATAGGAACCTTCTCTTCTTAATTTTCTAGGGCACTAAGCGTATCACCTGACATAACCATGTCCTGACGTGGTCCCTAAGTATTTAATTTAAAAAAATTAGGGGCACCTGGGTGGCTCAGTCTGTTAAGTGCCTGCCTTCAGCTCAGGTCATGATCCCACAGTCCTAGGATCGAGTCCTACATCGGGCTCCCTGCTCAGTGGAGAGCCTGCTTCTCCCTCTGCCTGCCACTCCCCCTGCTTGTGCTCTCTCTCTCTGACAAATAAATTAATAAGGTATTTAAAAGAAAAAGATTTGGGACGCCTGGGTGGCTCAGCTGGTTAAGCGTCTGCCTTCAGCTCAGGTCATGATCTCAGGGTCCTGGGATCGAGTCCCGCATCGAGCTCCTTGCTCAGCGGGGAGCCTGCTTCTCCCTCTGCCTGCCACTCTCCCTGTTTGTGCTCTCCACTCTCTCTCTCTGACAAATAAATAAATAAAATCTTTAAAAAAAAATTAATACAGGCACACCTTGGAGATACTGCAGGTTTGCTTCCAGACCATGGCAAAAAAGCAATGTCACAATAAAGCGAGTCAAATCAACTTTTGGGTTTCCCAGTGCATGTAAAAGTTATGTTTTGCACTATACCACAGTCTATTCATGTGCAATAGCAGTATGTCTAACAAAACAATGTATGTACCTTAATTAAAAAATACTTCATTGCTAAAAATGCTGACCATCATCTAAGCTTTCAGTGAGTCATTATCACTGATCCCAGATCATAACAAATATAATAATAATGAAAAAGTTTGAAATACTGTGAGAATTACCAAAATATGACACAGAGATACAAAGTGAGCAAATGCTGTTGGAAAAATGGCTTTGACAGACTTGCTCAAAGCAGGGTTGCCACAAACCTTCAATTTGTAAAAATCACAGTATCTGCAAAGCATAATAAAGCAAAGTGTAATAAAACAAGGAATGCCTGAAACTACTTAATAAATTATGGGATGAGAAAGAGGCAAAAGAATACTAAAAACATTTTTTTTTCAGTAGAGGGATAAATGATAGAAACAAAGTCTTATCCATCCTCACCACCGACCTGCTCCTGAACATAAAGAGCTAAGAGATTACTTCAGTGCGGCTTCTGCCTCAAAAGGTGGCGCCTCAAAGGAATGTTTTTAAACTATGTCTCAAAAGAAGGAGAAAATCATTCTTTTGTTTTTAGGGTTTTTTTTATTTAATTTTTTTAAGTAATCTCTATACCCAACGTGGGGTTCAAACTCACAACCCTGAGATCAAGAGCCACATGCTTCACCAACTGAGCTGGCCAGGGACCCCTAGAAAATCATTCTTCTACCTGCCACCTTCACAGGCTACCTGTTAAAGGCAGCACCTCCTGTGTTGTCAAGGATATGTGGGTGGTGGTGCAGCCTACTTGAAAACTCTATCCACACGAAATGTGTCAATTCAGTACAACAATTAATGAAAAGCCTAACATGTGACCCAAAAGCCTTGTATGCCATACTAATAAGGAGAATAGATTTTATCCTACACATGATGGAAAGCCAGCGAAGAATTTGGAGCAGGAAAGTGAGGTGCTCAGGACTTCATTTTAAATATATCCACCTGCAGAATAAATTTAAGTGGCAGTTCAGTTCAGAGAAGAAAAACCAGTTGGAGAATACTGAAAAATGAGATATGCTACAGACCTAACACCAGAGCAGCAATACTAGGAATAAAGACAAAAAAGAGGAATTTTTAAACTATTCAGGGAGACCCGTCAGCAGCATGGAGCAGCTGGCTAGGCAGACAGGAAGGAAGAGACGGTTTCCAGTGTGGCAGATGGTGGGTGCTGGTTCTATTACCTGAGACAGAAAACCACGGTGGTCTTCAAGTGGAAGTGATGGTGGTTAGTTCAGTTTTAGACATGTTAAGTGGAGATTCTAGAAAACAACCAAATGGAGATATGCAACAGAGAGTTAAATACATGAGTACGGATTTGAGGAAGGAGAGAAAATACTGATATACACATGGTATTTGAAGTCATAAAGCAGAACACACTGCCCAAGGACGGTATAAAGAGGGGTCTACAGTTGGAATTCTGGGGAATTTCAATTCTAATTCTGGGAAATGTGAAAGTATTGAAGGAGAGGGAAGAAGTGAAGGAGGAAAAAAAAAATCAAAACAGTACCAACTGAAAAAAGAAAGTGTCCAGAAGGAGGGTTCCACTCATGGTAGACTGGTAGAGGCAGAAACCAAACTGAAGTGAACAAATGGAAGATAAGGAAGTAGCCCCCCAGGAATGGAAACTGCTCTTTCAAGAACAGGTTCAGAAAGGAAAGGGCAAAGTGCTTCAGTGTAGACAGACATGGTTTCAAAAGAAAATATGTTGCCTGAGTTACTTGTTTTCAGATGACATAGATTGATGCAGGTTTGTGATTAGTAGGTCAAGAAAGGTTAAAATTTTTAGGACAAAAAGCAAAGGAAAAAAATGTGCTACACGATGGATCACGACAAAAGGGGAGACCGGAGAAGAGGAGCTGCAGGACCCAGAATGAGAAGTCTGCCCCTAGAAGTAGGAATGCCTTGCCCTCTGAGGAGAGAGGGAAGAAATAAGGATGGCTGGACCATAGGAGAGAAGCTGAATCAGGTAACACCCATCATCCTGAATGTCCTTTGTGAAACAGAAGGCAAGTCTGCAGGTTGAGGGACTTGAGGAGAAGGTAGGATTATTCACAGAGGGGCTGCCCCAGAAAGGTGGCAGGATGATTAAGCAGGCTGCCCTGAGAGCTCAGCGGAGGCTGGAGAGGAAGATGATGCTGGGTTTGCAGCAGCACTCAGCAGTTCAGAGGGCAGACCGTTCAGGTAACCCAGGGTCAGAGGGTTAGGAGGACAAGGAAATTAAAGGATATTGGCAATAACAGGGGTTTGAAGTGATGGATCACCAGGTCTGGTCAGGACAGAAGTAAAAAAGAAGAGGCCTGATGAAATGGGGACAAAATGGAGGCAAACAGGAACAGGAGGCCTCGGTAAGGTTGAAGAACAGGCTTAGGAGAAGCGGGAGACTGAAACAGCTCAAACAATGGCAAGCTGTGGTCAATCTTCCAGCACAGAAGGAGACTTTTTAATGTGAGTCTCATCCACATCTGAGTCCTCCTCCCGAACCACAAACTCCAAGGCGAGGGAAAAGGCATGATCCTAGATATTCTGCATTTATAACCACCAGATTAATATTTGGAGACTACATCTGAGTTGTGTAAGACCTAATAATATGCATTAATACTGTAAACACTTGATGAGAAGCCATATGATTTCACCATCTTACCCAACCAAATTCATAACTCGGCAAAAACATAACTATGCTCTGAATTATATGTTAAAAAAAAAAAGAAGCTAGCAGGAAGGGAAAAATGAAGGGGGGGAAATCGGAGGGGGAGACGAACCATGAGAGACTATGGACTCTGAGAAACAAACTGAGGGTTCTAGAGGGGAGGGGTGTGGGGGGATGGGTTAGCCTGGTGATGGGTATTAAAGAGGGCACGTTCTGCGTGGAGCACTGGGTTATGCACAAACAATGAATCATGGAACACTACATCAAGAACTAATGATGTAATGTATGGTGATTAACATAATAAAATAAAATAAAACAAATAACATTAAAAGAATAAAAAAAATAAAAACTGTCCTCAAGGGGGAAAAAAACATAACTATGCTCTCTTGAGAAAGCAACACAGGAAAATAACCAAGGGTACATTCAAGAACAAAAGGTTGCTACCGTTTGGGAAGATCAATACTGCAGCAAGTTGGCTGATTATTTTAAATTCATAAACACTGCCTTAGTTTCATTAAAGCCATTTGTCCTTATTCGTTGGAGGTGACACCAAGTCAGGAGGCAACATGACTGCATTCAAGAAAACATAACTAAAATCTCTTGTTTAAAAGAATATAATGTGAACTTAACAGTTTTTTCTTTGTTTTCCTACGGTAAACCTCAACTTACCTAGATCTGGCCATTAATATTCTTAGCCTCTTCTGCAGCATCAGGAGTTTAATCATACTTCAAAATACCATGTTTTCTTTGTTTGCTGACTTAATCTAGAAACAGAAAAAAGTCAGGAAGTTACTTCTTTTAAAACAATGATTTTCCTTATGAGACTTCTGGTAGCACTGTTAGTTCAATTAATCTATTTCAATAAACTCAAGTATAAAAATATAAGATTTATTTTTAAAATGCAAATGACACGTACAGGTTATCATTCACACAGTCAAGTAAAAACGCTATCGTCTAAGTTCTAGGATGTTTGGATATCAGAAGCTTTAGAAGCCGCTGACTCTGATTCTCCACTACAGCTATGACACTGGACAAACCACTTCTCTATAGTCTTCCTCGGCCATAAAATGAAAGGTCAGAATAAACCACCTCCGAAGTTCCTTTCCAGTTCTAATTTCACTGAGTGGCAGGCTAATTCTCTACTTCCAGTCACTTTTCTTAAACCTCACCGTCACTCCTCCTAAGAAGAGACTCTTTAGAGTCCACTCACTGCACTTTTTTCATCTACAAGAGCCCTCCAGAACCAAATCAGAGGACTCAGTCATCAGGAGACAGTCAATACGAACAAGCATGCCACACAGTCACAGGATCATGATATACCTTATAGCAATAAATTAAAATCTAGAGTTTCAAGAGATTGCAACGTGCTTTTGGGAAATTCCTGGTCAATCTAGTCCCTTTTTACAGCACAGAAAAAAATCAAACTCAAACATGGGTAACATTTACTGAATAACTACACTGTATCAGGCATTAGGGGTTTTGCAAATAGTCTCATCTTAATCTATATATTAACTAGAGTTAACAAACAATTGATACCCAAAATGAACATTTTCAAATCATGAACCCACATGCAAACAAAATTTTCAATTCTGGACTTCAAACCAATATACAAAATAAGCAGTTTGGTCAGGAGTTTGCTTGTGCCCCTCATAAGCTGCAACACACCATGTTAGAGTGGGCAGCAACCCAGTGCTTCTGCCTTAACACACCCTTCTTTTCTCCAGAAGCTTAATATATATTATGCTTTGTCTTTGGCTTGTAAAATTATCTAGCTAATTCCAACAGAAATCACTTCCCTTATATGAATACATATTGTCTGTTCATCTCTCTCTTCTGGGAGATGTTAGCCAGCCAATTAACTCAGGAAAATCTCTCTTCCTCTTTTTATTCATTGCATTTATAAGCATCTCACAACTCCCATCCTGAAATAAGTTTAATCATAGTAAATATTATTAAAAGAAATGAGAGTGATCCTTCCATAATCCTAAATCAAGGAAAAGTCTTAAGTTTTGAAATGAAACATATTAAAGAATCAGTGTACCAAACCTACACAGCTCTTGAAAATATTAAAAAGCATCCAACAAAATGTCTGAAAACTGATTCTGTCCCACATTTAGACTTTTTTCTTTCCCTAATTTTCTTTGAGTAAAATACACATAACATAAAATTAACCATCCTACCTATTTTTAAGTGCACAGTTTAGTCGTGTTAAATATATTCAATACTGTTGTGCGACCACTATCCAGAACTTCTTCCTCTTACAAAATTGAAACTCTGTACCCATTAAACAGCTCATTTCCCCTCCCAGCTAATCCTGGCAACTACCATTCTACTTTCTGTTTTTATGAGTTTGACTACTCTAGGTACCTCATATAAATGAGATCATACAGTATTTATCTTTTTGTGCCTGCCTTATTTCACTAGGCAAAATGTCCTTAAAGTTCATCCATGTGGTAACAGGTGTCAGAATTTCCTCTTAAAGGTTGAACAATATTCCATTTATACACACACACACCCCAAATTTTGCTTATCCATTCATCTACTGATAGACATTTATCCACCTTTTGGCTACTGTGAATAATGATGCAGCTGTGAACATGAAAGTACAAGTATCTCTTTGAGACCATGCTTTCAATTCTCTTAATTTAGACCCAGAAGTGATATTGCTGACTACATGGTTATTCTATTTCTTATTTTTTGAGCAACTGCCATACTGTTTTCCAAACAGCTGCATCATTTACTTTCCCAATGGCAGTGGGCACACGAATTCCAATTTCTCCACATTCTCACGAACATGTTTTCTGTTTTTGTTTGTTGGTATCAGCCATCATAATGGGTATGAGGTGGTATCTCAATGTAGTTTTGATTTGTCTTTCCCTAATAATTAATGATCTTGGGCATCTTTTCATGTGCTTATTAATCATTCATGTATCTTCTTTGGAGAAATGTCTATTCAAGTTCTTGGCCTATTTTTGAGTTGGAATGTTCTTTTGTTTTGGACTTTAATAAGTTCTCTATATATTCTGGATATTAAACCCTTATCAAATATATGGTTCGCAAATATTTTCTCCCATTCTATGGGTTGCCATTTTAGTCTGTTGAATAATCGTAAAGTCCAATTTGTCTATTTTTGCTTTTGTTGCCTCTGCTTCTGGTGTCATAACCCAAGAAAGCATTGCCAAATCCAATGTCATGAAGCTTTTGTTTAATGTTTTCTTCTAAGAACTGTATTGTTTTATGTGTTATATTTAGGTCTTTGATCCATTTTGAGTTAAATTTTATATGTGGTGTTAGGTGAAGGTTCAAATTCATTCTTTCGCATATGGATATCCAGTTTTCCCAGAATCACTTGTTGAAAAGATTGTCCTTTCACCATTGAATGGTAGTGGCACTTTTGTGAAACTTTAGTTGACCATATATGTGAGGGTTTATTTCTGGGTTCTCTATGCTATTCCATTGGTCTTGTAAGTCTGTTTTTATGCAAGTACCATACTGTTTTGATTACTGTAGCTCTGTAGTAAGTTTTGAAATCTGGAAGTGTGAGTCATCCAGTTTTGCTATTCCTTTTCAAAAAATGTTTTGGCTATTTGAGGTCCCATGAGATTCTATATAAATTTTAGGATGGGTTTTTCTATTTTTGGGAAAAAAAAATCATTGGAATTCTGATAGGGGTTGCATTGAATCTGCAGATCTCTTTGAATAGCACTGACATTTTAACAATATTACATCCTCTAATCCATGAACATGGGGTGTGTTTAGTTATGTATTCTTTAATTTCTTTCAGCAATGTTTTGTAGATTTTATTGTACAAGTCTTTTACCCCTTTGGTTAACTTAATTCCTAAATATTTTATTCTTTTTAACGGCACCGTTCCAGTAAATGGAACTGTTTTTGTAATTTTCTTTCAGGTTGTTGTTAGTGTAGAAAAGCATAACTAATTTTTGCATATGGACTTTGTATGCTACTACTTTGTTGAATTCATTTATTAGTCCTAAAATTTTTTTGCATGGAATCTTTCAATGTTTTGTATGTCTGTTAGCACTAGTTGGTTATGCCCTCTATTTCCTTACTTATAGTGTATCTATTATTATGAGTAGGGTACTGAAGTCTCCAACTACTATTGTAAAACTGTCTATTTCTGCCTTCAATTCTGTCAGTTTTTACTTTGTGTATTTTGATGGCCTATTAGGTACATAAGTGTTTATAATTGTTATACCTTCTTGCTCTGTTGAATATTTTATTAATATATAATACCCTTTTGTCTAACTTTTTAATTTTATTATTTTTTAAAGATTTTATTATTTGACACAGAGAAAGCACATGTGGGGGAGCGGCAGGCAGAGAAACAGGGAGAAGCAGACTCCCCACTAAAGCAGAGAGCCCGATGCGGGGCTCAACCCCAGGACCCTGGGATCATGACCTAAGCAGAAGACACTTAACCAGACTGAGCCACACAGGCGTCCGTCTTATTACCTTTTTAAATTTAAAGTCTATTTTATCTGATATTAGTATAGCCACTCCTGCCCTCTTTTGGTTACTATTTGCATGTAATATATTCTTCCACCTTTTTACTTCCAATCTATTTGTCTTTGGATCTCAAGGGAGTCTCTTGTAGATAGCATACCGTTGGATCATGTGTTTTTATCCATTCTGCCAATACGTCTTTTGACTGGAGAGCTTAGTGCATTTACAATTAATTACCGATAAGGAGGGACTTCTGTCATTTTGCTATTTGTTTACTATATGCCTTAAGCTTTTTTGTCCCTCATTTCCTATATTGCTGTCTTCTTTGGTGTTTAGCTAATTGTTTTATAGTGAAATGTTTAAATTCCTTTCTAATTTTCTTCTGTGTGTATATTCTATAGCTATTTTCTTTGTAGTTACCATGGGGATTAGATTTCACATCCTAAAGTTATAATGATCCAATGTGAATTTATCCTAGCTTAACATCAGTAACATACAAAACCTCTGCTCCTTTACAGCTCCATCCCCACTCTCCTTTCAGTTACTGATGTCCCAAACCTATCTTTATATATACATTGTGTGCCCAAATACATAAACTAATCATTCTTTTAAAGGTATTAGTCTTTTTTAAAAAAAGATTTTATTTATTTATTTGAGAGAAGAAAGAGAGAGAAAGAGAGAGCACGAGCTGCGGGGGGGTTAGAGGGAGAGAGAGAAGCAGACTCCCAGCTGACCAGGGAGCCTGATGTGGGTCTCGATCCCACGATCCTGGGATCATGACCTGAGCTGAAGGCAGACACTGTATTAGTCTCTTATATAGAAAACAAAAGAATTATAAGCCAAAATTACAAGACTAGCTTTTTCTCCCCTTTAAAATGTATTAGTTTCAGGTGCCTGGGTGGCTCAGTGGGTTAAGCAACTGCCTTCGGCTCAGGTCATGATCCTGGAGTCCCAGGATCGTGTCCCACATTGGGCTCCCTGCTCAGCAGGGAGTCTGCTTCTCCCTCTGACCTTCTTCCCTCTCATGCTCTCTCTCTACCATTCTCTCTCTCTCTCAATAAATAAATAAAAATCTTTAAAAAAAAAGTATTAGTTTCTTAATCATGTAGAAAACAAAAAGTACAGTTATAAATCTTTGTTACAATAGTACTAGCTTTTATAATTCCCCTGTATTTATCTTTAGTGAGATCTTCATTTCTCCGTATGGCTTCAAGTTACTGTCTAGTGTCCTTTTGTTTCACCCTGCAGGACTCCCTTGCACATTTCTTACAGGGCAGGTCTAGTGGTAATGAACTCCCTCAGCTTTTGTTTATCTGGGAATGTCTGAATCTCCCCCATCATTTTTGAAGGACAGTTTTGCCAGATACAGAATTCTCAGCTGACAGTTTTTTTCTTTTACCACTTTGAATATATAAGCCCACTGCCACCTGGCCTCCAAAGTTTCCAATGAGCAATTTGCTAATAATCTTATTGACAATCCCTTGTATGTGATGATTTGCTTCTCTCTTGCTGTTTCCAAGATTCTTTGTCTTTGGGGTGTGCCAGGGTGGCTCAGTTGGTTAAGCGTCTGCCTTCAGCTGGAGTCATGATCTCAGGGTCCTGAGATCAAGCTCCAGGTTGGGCTCCCTGCTCAGTGGGAGCCTGCTTCTCCCTCTCTCTCTGCCCCTCCCCCCCCCACTCGTGCTCTCTCTCTCTCTCAAATAAATAAATGAAATCTTAAAAAAGAAAAGATTCCTTGTCTTTGGCTTTAGGAAGTTTAATTATAGTGCATCTTGGTGTGTGTCTCTTTAAGCTAATCTTATTTAGAGTGCAAAGAGCTCCCTGGATGTTTATATTTGTGTCTTTCATCAAATTTGGGAAGTTTTCAGCCCTTATTTCTTCAAATATTCTCTCCTCCCCTTTCCCTCATCTCCTCTAGCACTCCCATAATATGTATGTTGCTCCACTTGACTGTGTCCCACAGCTCCGTCAGACTCCATTTTTCTTCAATCCGTTTTCTTTCCATTCCTCAGACTTGATAATTTCCATTGTCCCATCTTCATGTTTGCTGACTTTTTGTTTTGGCTACTCACAGCTGCCTTTGAATCTACTGAATTTTTCATTTTAGTTATTGTAATTTTCAGCTTTAGAATTTCTATTTGATTTCTTTTTGTTTTCTCTTTATTTAAAGGTATTTTTTGTTTTCTCCATTTTCCTTTAGTTCTCTGAGCATCTTTAAGACTGTTGTTTTCATCTTCTATAATATGTCTGTCATCAGGACTTTTTCAGGGACAATTTCTGTTGATTTATTTTTTTCCTTTAGATGGACCATACTTTCTTATTTCTTTGTATGCCTTGTGATTTTTTTTTGCTGAAAACTGGACATTTTAATCTAAAAATATGGTAATTCTGGAAATCAGATTCTCCCCTTTGCTGTTTTTTGTGATTGTTATTTTATTGATTGTTGTAGGCTGGCCCTGTGCCAACAGTCAGCCTGACATGTGAACTTAAGGTCTTGTCTTCTCAGATCTTTTCTGGGCCTTGAGGTCACCTTCAAATTTTCCCTGTATATGCAGTTGTTTTTGAATGTTGTGGTCTTTAATGTCTGTTTCCCAAAAGGGAAAAAAGAGAAAAATGAATGGGGCAAAAGAAGGTACTAGTCCTTTAAAATCCTAGAAGTCACTTTAGCTGGAGGGGAGGGGGTTGCAACAATGGGGGAAGGTGTAACAACAATGGTTGGTTGCCCACTTCTTTGTGTGAACCTCTGTGATCAGAAGCAGCAATCAGTGACCCAAGCACAGATCTCTGACATTTGGAAAAGAGGATCTTTTCTGCCTATCTTGGCTCTCACAAGCTGGGTATAAGCTGCACAGGGCTGGGAGGAAAAGATGGGTAGCTGTGCTAAGAGGTGAAACTGACTGAAATTAATTGCAATTTATGTCCAAGCCTTCTGGCACATGCAAGTCTTCAATAACTTCAGTAATTTGGAAGTACCAAAGCAGCTATAAAAGATTCTGCCAGGGCAACTGTTGCCTAGGTGGGGAGATAGATTACTGATGCTTCCTGTTCCACCGTACTTTTTGAGTATCAATATATATCTAGTTATATCATTTTATTTCCTTGATTATTAGCACTGCCAAAGTATTGTCAAGTTTTTACTTGCTTTTACTGCTTTTCAAATGCAAATATTCAACATGTCAGTTGTATCAGGGATTAAAAGACTTTATGGGCTTCGTTCAAAAGGATACCTTCTATACCAAAACACATTCTGAGTTCCAAATAACTGATATACTACAGCACTCCTGGAATGAACATAACCCAGATGGATCACAGGTGTCCTGCATTTGACTCCAAAACATGAATGCTTTGGAGATTATCCATGACTTGTTAACTGTCTTTGGTTTCTTCCCACTAGCAAAAGGCTTAGAACCAAAAGCGATTGGGAGGTAGTGAGAGGAAAAGAAGTAGCTATAGACATTATACGGAGCTATAATCTTGCTGTAACATGGATGTTACTTTGTAAAATAGGTATATCAGATCAACTATGACTACATACTGAAGAAGAATACAATGATTTTACACTAAAATTATCAAGAAGCTAAAAATTCCACTACATATTATCTACTAACACCTTATTTTTCTATAGCAAACTGATTTTTAAAGCCTTCACTGTATACTAGACATAGATTCATTTGGATTATCTCAATCTATACAACCACCCTATGAGGTAGGTACTATCATTATATTTGTGTTCCAAATGAGGAAAACCAAGGCTTGAATAAGTTAGGTAGCTTTCCCAAGGTCAATAGCTGATAAGAGAAAGAGCCAAATTAAATCCAAATCTGACTCCAAAGCCCAAGCTCTTATTAATATATATAAAAAGCTTAAACCAGTGCATGGTATATAGCAAGCAATTAGTAAATGCTAGCCACTGAAATAATAACAATAACTTATTTTAAAACAATGTTTTAGATGGCAGTCAGTCAACCTTTCTGTGCCTAAATTTCCTCATTTATAAGATTAGGATTCCTATTTCACAGAGTTATTGTGAAAACCAAATAAATTCTAGCTATCAAAACATTTAGAAAAATATATAGTGTTTAAAAAGACAAGGAATTATTATATCACCACTACAGGTAAAATCCTGTCTCTTGTATTACAAAGGAGCCTTTTGCACTATAAGCACAGAAGCCCAAAACTTAAGCACTATCCTCATAACAAGAGTTACATTAATAAATTTAGTAAAGCTGTCTTAAATTATTCCAATATGATTCTTGCAGAATGACAAGCAAAGAGAACACTGAACTCTATTCATGAGTGTGATTATAAATTTGGTGCTTAGGAAGGTATATTTGCTCTTTCAGTTCACTAGCACTGAGGGTGAATTTGGCTTATTCTACAGTAGTTCTGTTCAAATGTAGCCAGGACAGAATATCTATAGTTAGAAGCATAGCAATATAACTCTAAATTTGGGGCACAGCTAACTGCCACATTTAATTACATTAAAACAATCAAGAGAATGACATTCAAAAACCATGTTCTTTATGTCAGTGGTCTGACTGGTTATTGGTATGTATTCATTTCCTGCTTATTCTTAACACCACTAAGGATTTTTTATTCTTTATATTATTCTTAAGAAGAGTTAAGAAACAAACAAACAAACAAAACAAGCTAAGGGGAGAGATTTCTCAGTATATTCTGCTAGTAACCAAAACCAGAGACATTCTGAGAAAGGTAAGGACACCTGCAACAGTTTCCTTGTTAGCTGAAAACTGAAGTACACACAAACACACAAAACCAAAAAAGTACCCAACTGTTTTTTAAGCATCTATCCATGAATATGGTTGTATCTGCATATTCCTAAGACCATACAAGGAGATTTTTCTTCCTTTAGGTTTTTTATTTTACTAGGGACTATGTTGGTGAACTACTTTGCAATTCATAAACATCTAACCACACCACCCTCCTTTTTAAATTCTTCAAAAAATCAATTACATTACTTACACACTTCAATATCTGGTACTTTATTTTCTGGAAACTCTTTATGTCTAATCTAAATTCCTGGTACTGCAATTTAAACCAGATTCCTCTCATTTCTGTTTTCTCTGTAAGAGATAAGTAAAACCAGCATGATCAAGAAAACTTAAGCACATACTTATGTATATTTAAACTGTTAGCAATTCATTTTCCTGTGGATAAATCTAAAATATTAACAAAGTAACATTTCCTTATTTCATATATAGTTGTTTGACTAAAGCTAGCAAAAAATTACTTAGTAGGTTATAGTAATTTGTAAACAATTATCAATATTAAGGAGAGAATAAAAGAATAAAAAATTGAGCCCATTAATTTTTCCATCTTCACACTGAAGCATTCAACAAGTATTTCCTGAGCACCAATTCTCTTTGCCAGGCACTGAGTTAAATGCTAGAAATAAGATACAGACATATTCCCTGATTTCAAGGAGTTTACTGTTTAGTGAGGGAGACAGACAAGAAAATGAAAACAATGAGTTACAAGCCCATAGGCCAGTGCCATCAGAACATCTCACAGCAGAAGGAAAGACAAGTGACAGGAGGCCTCCTGAGAAAGGTAACCTCTAAGTCAAGTCCTAAAAGATTGAGGGGAGTTTGCTAGGGCAAGGGCAATCCAGACCAAGAAGAGTGCAGGCAAAAGCACAGAAGCATAAAAGGATATGGCCTGCTCCAGACGCAGCAAATAATTCCGTACAGCTGGAATGTAGGGATGCATGGGAAAATATTAAGAGATAGGTAGGAAGACAGGCTCGTGCCATTTCATGAAGGGCCAGCTTGCTCTTCCATAGTTCACATTCTCCCTTATGATCTTAAAGATGCCACTAATGTCTTACCAAAATACTGTCCTATAGAAGCTGAAAAACTAGAGTCCGTACAAGGCGAACTTCTAATTCCTAAGAATTAATTCCTAAGAATACAATTAATAGTGTTCTACTGTTGTCTATAATGCCCAAAGTCTAACCTACCAATCACAGCATCCATCTATAAACATAAGCATTCTCCCAACAGCATCTAGACCTGCCTACAGTGAATGTTACTGTAGGATGATGACCTAAACCTCAGCTGCTCCTTCAAGACCCTAAAAAAGTTACCCATTTTAACTTCATATTTCACACACTGAATTTGAAAAAGTCATTTTCAATCATACATTCTGATTTTTAAGAATGAAATGGAAGAATCTACAGCTATTATCTTTACCATTTATCCACCTATCAACAATTGTATGTGTGCACTTAGCAAATAGTCAGAAAATGGTACTAAAATGGCTTGATAAAAATAAAACAAGAGAAATATTAAAATGGAAGATGATATAAAACACCACTTTGCCTTTAATTATACTGCTCATAATTCAATCCTGGAGTGATCTATAACCTTGGAATATACTTATAGCTAGAAACACTGCTGATGAAATTTATACAATTAAGTCTGAGTGTCCATAATCTCTGACCTAAGATATAAAAACACAACTACAGATGTGCAAACCCAGCAGATGAGTCACTCTGCCTTAGCTAACTCAATAATGTAATCAGTACCAATGGCAACAATCCCAGCACCTTGAATCATAGGAAAAAGTATCATCAACCTTGAGAACTCTCAAAAAACTCTTAGTTTAGTACTTTATGTTGTGACATAAAAATATGTACAAGGAAATCAAATACCATCCTCCAGTAACATCAAAGTGATGAACATTCTATATAACAGATTGCATAGCTCTCTCCACTAAAAATCCACAGACTGCACCACAGAGAGAAGACATAATTGTAAGATAGCAGTAAGAAAGTCTAGGCATTCTCCAGAAAAGATTTATCACTAACTCTGAAAATTGGAATAAATATATTTGATCTTACAGAGCTAGTGCATTCAATTTTCTCTAAGTACTATATATCAGAATTCCATGTTCATATTCCTCAATTCAGTCATTTCTATATATTAATTCATACAATTGTGTCAAATTAACAAACGATTGCTTAACCCTCATAATAAACCTCTAGTTTATAAATTTCCTAATAGAGAGTAGTCTACTAGCCCAGATTGAACTCTAGCATAATAAATATTTAACCTATGAGGTTTCACTAAACAGAGCAACAGTAAGAGGTAAAACCTAAATATGAATTTTACAGTATTTTGCTTAGTATAGTTCTTAAATAGTTCTTAAAAAGCATCTGGCTTAATTCTGTAAAACAGCAAAACACTAAATGCAAGCCACTCTACCTTCAAATCTCATGTTAAATACAAAACTTATTCAGTATCAATCAAGCTGTAAATATCTACAAAATAATGTAAGACATGCAAGAAAATCTCTAAGTATCTTCGCTTTTTCTATTATATGCTTAACCTAGAACTAAATAAACATTAATGAAGGATATCAGAAAAGGAAATAAAGTGATAATTTTCAAAACTGAATATTTAAGTGTATAGGCAGAATATACCATAAATCTGTACTTCCAAACACAGATGGGTATCATGCTAGTACTAGACTCATATTAAAAGGCTAAATATCGGTTTGTGTATATAAAATGTACACATACAATCTGCCTAAAGTAAGGTTAGGCGAATGCCAAGCAACTCTAAATAACCTTCAAAACAAACTGCTTCATGAATAGCTCATCAGTTTCTGCATTTAACTCAACCTAAAATGCTCTTAAACATATTCTCAAAGGAAAATAAGCTTGATTATTTTCTACTTTTAGAGTAATGTATTCAAAATTACTGTTATAATCTAGCATTAAAACTACCCGATTCAAGTACACCACTAAAAAAAATGGTTGATGTGTGTGTGTTTTCTAACACTCCTCAACCTCACAAAATGCCACCCCACACACAAGGTTAACCAGAAATATTTACATCAGAGTACATCTATCCATTTGATGAGCTCTTATGGGGCCATTAACAAGCATTGTTTAAAGAACACTTGATGACAAAAAAAAAATGTTCATGGTATAAAGTTAAGCAGAAAATAAGAAAAAAACTGTTCTTTTAAAATATAATATGGTATCCCGGATTGGATTCTGGAACAGAAAAGGACATGAGTGGATAAACTAGGGAAGTCCAAATAAAGTCTGTAGTCCATAGCATTGTGCCAGTGTTAATTTCTTCTTCTAGGGAAGGCCAGGTAAAGGGCATATGAGAATTTCTGTACTATATTTCCAACTTTTCTGTGATTCTAAAATTGTTCTGTAAAAATAAAGTTTATGTTAAAAATTACTTTGTGCCCAGTAGCAAACATAAGAGGCTTCTCATTTTAAAAAATAACATTTACACTTATTTTTCTCTCTCCCACCCCTACACACGACACATAAACCCAGAAAAAAAGACTAGACTAAAACACACTAAAATATTAACATTTGTTCACTGGTAGTAGGATGAAAAGCAAATTTTTCTCTTTATATTTTCTACAGTGTATTGCTTTTATAATCAAAAATAAATTATTAACTAAAAAATATACAAATCAATACTTTATTAAAAACTTCTTTTGAAAGAAAAGTTATAAATGTCTAAGCAGAACCCAAAGGCAGACTGCATACAAAACAGGTTAGGGCAGAGTGTGAAGAATGCAGTGGCCAAGGGAAATTGCCAGGAGTATTTAAGTGGGCATAACCTAATTAGTAAATGCTGGAAACCTGCCAATACACAGAACTTAACATCCACTCTGAGGCTAAAGGTGCTCACAGCCAGCAAAGTTGTGCTCAGAATTCACATGTCTTAGAGGAATGCCCTGAAAGGCTCCCGTAATACTAAGAATCTGTGGAGATACATAGCTTGGGTTTATTTCAAACAAAAATAATGCAATTGGGGATGCCTGGCTAGCTCAGTTGGTGAAGCATGTGACTCTTGATCTCAGGGTTGTGAGTTCCAGCCCCACACTGGGCGCAGAGATTATTTAAACAAATAAAATCTTAAAAAAATAAATAATAACAGGGCTCCTGGGTGACTCAGTTGGTTAAGCGAATGCCTTATGCTCAGGTCATGATCCTGGAGTCCCAGGATCGAGTCCCACATCAGGCTCCCTGCTCAGCAGGGAGTCTGCTTCTCCCTCTCACCCTCCCCCCTTCTCATGCTCTCTCTCATTCTCTCTCTCAAATAAATAAAATCTTAAAAAAAAATAAATAACAACAATGCAGTTGGACGTCTGGTGCACAACTGCCCACTGAGAGCTTCTAGAAATATTCTTCAGTACCATGATGTGCTCTTTAGGTATTTCACCTCTACTTTTTTCCTTCTCTAGTACCTTCCTACAACCTATGCCCAACCCTTAGCCTTAAGGCCTACAAATGTAACTCCAGAATGATCAGGATCTAGAGACCACTGGGATTAAACAATCAAATCCTATTTCAGATGTCTGAAAGGTATCATAAAAGTTATTATTCTGTTACCTTCAAGGCAAAATATGTTCTAGTACTCCATTAAGCAGTAAGAGGGGAAACTAAATCAATAACAAATGTTTCCCACTCAAAAATGAAAAAATAAAATACATTTTGTCCCTTAGAAGAAGTGCCAGTAGAATCAAACAGACTGCATTTTGACAGAGTTTCTTCCAAGCTGTAATCAGGCTGATTTACCTGTAGCAGGCTGGCTGTCCCTACTAAACTAGCACTAGGTGGCCAGTTCTGGGTTTTGTGTCATTTTTTAAAAGTTTTTTAATTCTTTGTTTATGGTCACCCTCATTCTCAGTTGATAGTACAGCAGGTCCTAGAACTGTCACTTACACATGCATGTGCATTTTTTTTTTACTCTTGAATCCTTGTGGACTCTATAATCGGATAACTAAGCCTATTAAGAATAGGTGCAAAATACACCCTGTACTCAGAGACAAAGGAATATTTTATGTTAAAATGCATGGTATTTACTTCATGAGCTTTATATAACAATTTTAAGCATTAGAAGCCTTTTTTGCTTACTTTCTAGTCGTAGTTTTGTTTAAGAAAATAGATGTGACCAAAAAAAGATCCTCAGGTATGGAGGCCACAGTAACAAAGTATTACTCCTGTTGTTATTATTTTGAATACCAATGGAGATACATACTGTTTTTCATCAAAGCTAAGACACAAAGACACAACTGAGTTTAAGGC